GGACTCCGGCCTTGTTGTGCTTTAAAGAATTTTTCACACGATCGGAAAGAATATATGAACTTTTTAATATCATTAGTAAAGTATCTCGGGCGTAATTAAAAGTTATTGATTAATTTGTGCCGAAGTGGGATTTGTTACGATATACTATAAATCAACGAGGTTTCTCTGTGCCGGTTTTAGTATTCAAGATATATATTCCGGGAAAACTTGATATTATCATATCAAATTTGTTTCTCTCCATTCTTAAATTAAGGAGTAATGAGTGATTTTCGAAGAGAAACTTAATTTATTCCATAAATTCATTAGGATGTTATCGCAACACGGAAGGAAATCTAATATACGATTGTTTGACATGTAAATCGTTAGCACATAGAAGCTGCTGATTTAAAGGCAACCGACAGAGGCACCGAGGCAACAGACTCCACAAACGTATTAAAATTGACAGGGTCCATCCGAACCGTCCCAACTACCAAATACTGCTTAGGTATGCACTTGTAATGGTCATCCCGGACTAACTTATTTTCAAATAACAACAAAATATCCACCTCACGTGTTTCTCGAAACCGGATTATTGATGATGTTGCTTTTACCAGTGAATTATTGCACAAGTGATACTACAATGGCTTGACTTTTGCTCATTCTTGCCCCTTACGCTTTAGACTGTCACGCAATCTCAGCTGACAGATTCGCTTCGCAGTTCCTTGAATTTTTATACGGAACTTCTTTTCTTTATCATTTAAACTTACACTCCTTTGTAGAGGATTTATGGATGTAGGCACACGTTATTTTTAAACTAATGCTCCGACGAGAGCGAGAAGGACGAAACCGGTCCGTAGACGGCAAACGTTGGTAAGGTTGTTGTTTTTGCGATAAATTTGCATTGTTTTTGAAAGGTCGTGGTATTTTGGCGGCGAATTCACTCCATTGCACGTAACTTGTAACTCAGGCGGGACTGGCCAAGTCGAATGAATTTTTTACAAACCGCAAATTGCATATTAAGTATTGATGTGATTTCTGGGAGCATTGGCGGCGCTGTTTACTGCACTAGCTAGGCCGAACACGTGATTGGCGGCGGCGATCGGATCGTGTGCAACTACCGAAGCTTAGGGGCTCCCTGTGGAACTTCTAGATTTTAACATTCAGCTCAACTAGAATCTTTCTTGTATTATTAATGTTACACGTGCTATATTTTTATGTATCCGAATGCAATATCGATACTTACCTTTAAACATGCCCCTTTATACCATTCTTTCATTACTCGAATGCTTTTTTGATAACTAAAGCTGAAAATTTTGGGCCGCATTTTCACTCAAGCGGGGAGTGTTGTGATGGTCTCATGTATCAATTCGTAAAAAAAACGACATCCGTACGTAATGTTTAACTTTGTCGAGGCGATGCTTCAAACGATAATTTTGACAATTTTAATATCGGTCTTGCCATTTATTATACGTTGATATAATCTCTTATTAAAGTTGCTTTGCCCTACCATTTACAAATTCATATAGAGATAAAATTATTGTCTGGGATTTACAGCCTTTACTAATTGCTAAGGTCACACGAATGGCCTATAATGTCACCTCCGCTCTTCACCTTCCTACAAGTCCTTATCTCGAGTTTCTGACGGTCTAGCCCTTTGGGGCTGCCATCATCAAATGTTGCTGTTGTTCACTTTTACTAGAATTGCACGCCCATTTGCCACAACAAAGTTTTATAGTTTATAATCCATTAACTCAAGAATCTACATTAGGCGGAATCTGCTTTTTAAGTTGACGTATGCCCTAAAGTTAGTTCAACTTTGTTAGTTCAAAATTGGATATTCCTCAAACTTATTAAAACGGGACGTTGGACATACGTTTTATGTAGTTTTTACTTGTACGCAGATTATCGCGATGGGCTGACATTTAATATAGTACCGGTATGCTCGACTAAAGGTAAAAAGTGAACTTTTGAGTTAATTATAATCTCGTCTAGACCGTTTAAATAAGTTAGAAGATTACGAATGGTTAAACAACCACCGTAGTATTAGTCTAATTCGACTTTGAGTATATTTCGGGCATGTTTATTAAATTTTCCAACGAACACTGGAATCGACATTAAGGCAACGTTAGTGTCTGATGCCACGAAGAGAGAAGAAAAGGGCATCGCGATTAAGACGTTAAAGCCAAATTAATTACAAAAATTCTATCTTGAGAATATTCAGAAACTTATGAGAAATATCTGGAGGCGGAAAGCGAGAATAATTTTTACGCGTATGTATTTTGCCTGCGTGAATAGGGAGTTAAAAACGAGCTAGAAGGGCGTCGACTGTACGACACGTGAAGTAATATTAGTATGTGTTAGGGATTAAAAGGGCGGTCGTGAGGAGACAAGAAATCGAATTTTGAAATAGTGGGGATTCGTGATTAGCCTGAAATCGAAGTTCCGCAATAAGACGTAAGATATATTCTTTTATTCATAGGGGAGTTGATACTAAACCACGTCCAATTAGTGGCCACGAGCCCGCGCCACCCGGTCCATAGAAGTTAATTTTATGTCAGACTGCAATAGGGCTGTAGAGGATATAATATTTGTATCTTTTGCATAATTCAATATCTCCAAATTAAGCTTTATTATATTTACATAATTTACATTTCACGCTGTCATAGATAATTAAATCAAGAAAACTTTTCTCATTACATCGGTTGATTCAGACGAGTATTTGATTGAGAAGATTGCTCCTGTCTTGCAGTAAAGTCACCTCTGCAACAAGCAAAGTTCCCGAACGTCTGTGTGCGTACGATATGCGAAAATACGTTTCACGAAACTATAATGCTCCTTTCACATATTCCGCAAACGTTCACCAGAAATTGCGGCGACTCGTGTAGTGATACGATGTTGTATTTTATTGCATCACATTCACGTCTATGTATACCACTTCGGACGCGTGACAAATTACCACATTTACATGAATGTGTCAAGAATGAGCACTTAAAATAGCCGCTTTTATTATAAACGCCGTTCTCTTGATTGTTGCTTGATGCGAATTAAACACGATCGCACAATAACGCACTGTTGTATTGATGGCTATCGATGTATCAATTATTAATTCTCGGCAATTAATTTCGCTCCCCACCACCATTAATTAAACACCCTAAAAATTCACACATACCAGACGGCCTTTACCTACACACCGACTATTAACGTCAAAATTCTCATCATGCATAATTTTGCTATCAATACATGAAAGGTGACGGTAGCTATATCCAGAACGTACCTACGTACTGTCGTTGATTATCGCCATTTTTTGAAACTTCAGAATGACATTTCGTGAAAAATTTTAGAAACGGGATTCGTACGTCGAAAATACGCGCGCAGGAAACTCAACAGCATCAATTAATTTATTTATTGGTGCTTAACTGTGGATTTCTGGAGAGAGTGTTTGTGGTGGGCTAAAAGTTTTCTGCACAAATTTAACAATCCGAGATCTACTCGGAAATCTATTTTTCATGGATAGTTTTCATCATTAATACCTTGCAGGTACACTGTACGATGTTTCAGTTTAGGCGAAAGTTCAGCCCTGTAAGTTATAGCTGTCGTAAAAAACACTTCGAAATTCCCTCAACATTCTTACTCGTAGATCGTTTTAAATCAAATTCGTACACAAGGCGCATATGTTGGCTGAAATTTCATGTAAATCAATTTTAAGGAAGCCATAAGTGTTAGTGTAGAACATGTTTAGAAAATGTAACCAATGAGAATCGTTTTCGATAAAAGGGGAAGCCAAGCAAATACGTTCAATTATTCCAACAGACAGTGAAGATTTTTGAAGTTTCAGGCCGTGAAGTAGTCGAGGGAGAGTTAATTTTTCACACGCCGGTTGTAGTTTGATTTCACCTGTACTTTATTAGTGTTATTATTATTATTGGAGTTTGTGGGGTCAATTTTGCGAACACTACTGTCAGGTTATTGCAAACTGGAGAACAGTTGCAGTCCAATTTAAATTTAATTTAATATTGTATTTCTTTTTTCTTTTGATAAGGGAGTATTGTGATGGCCGAACATAATTTGTGCCTGGTAATGTCCGTAAGCACACAATCATAATTTGTTGTGCGCGCTACGATATTAATTGTATCATTTTGTTGCTTCAATTTTTACGTTAACGAGAATGTGGACAAGTAAAATTTTATGGGTTGCGGTACTTTATTTCGCTTTTTTCAGAGAGCACTACCGCTGGACAAAAGCTTTGTGCCCTAAATTTTGTAAATAGTGTCAACAATGTCGCCAACCGAATAAACTGCGACATATAGTTTTCGACCGAATTTAATCGAATATCAACAAACAAACCTCGTTGTGGTTGTTATTATTTACATTGTTTATTGGTCTGTGGACGCCATAGTAAGTTTTCAGTGCGACATGCATTTATGGAGAAGGAAGCGACATTAGCTGGAGTTTTTCACAGAGTGGAGCTGTAGGGCTTTAGCTTTGTGGTAGCGAATGTCGCGTTGTAACGGCGTAAGTCCGCATTATTTAATTAAAGTTTTGCCAGTTTTCGCTTTTTGTTTTTGCCGGGAAGTATTCGTCATTTATTTGTCCTGAGCGATATATTAGAAGCTTTAAATGGCGTCAGTGTCTATGGGTGTAAGGTAAACACCGTGTTTGATTTCGGAGCGCGTTTCAGCCGTGGTATTGACTGCTTTCTGGTCTTCGTGTGCCCAGACACAAGGACCGGAAGTGACACAAGCCAGAAAAGGAAGTAGGCGACTGTTTCATGAGGTTTTATTTGAAGGTTGAACCCAACAAGCGAAAATCGTTTCTATCCGTTCTACTTATATTGCAATGCAGACTCAACGTTTAGCTAAAGATTGTGGAAAATTGCACACCATAATCTCAGGAATAGTGTCGTCGACTTAACCCAACAACCAAACTTGGGTTATTATCTTTCATTAAGTCGTTCGTTTTACACGGCATATTCTCCGCGACGGCGTTATTTATCGGGCTAGAAGGGCAAATAAAAGATCCTCTTGTTAACTTATTTATATTACCTTATTAGACAATATAAGAAACAATAACATTTCACTTGTAAATAAATCGAACGAAAACACACATCTGAAAATATTTACAGTTAACTAAACATTTCAGTACATATTCGTTGACATTAATTTTCTCCATTCAGTTGACTTATAAATAATTTAAACAATGTTTGCTGAAATTACTGTTTACAAATGGCGGGTATTGGTGACATAAAGTCATGCGTTTCGTGTTGTAAACATAATTTCGAGTAGTATCAAATTTTTAAAAATATCGTAAATTATTAATTATTTTGGCACTTGAAATTATACAGTACGAAAAATTTTGTCGTATTGGGAGACTTTGTAAAATGTAATCATATGACATAATTTTTCGTTATTTACAGTTGACTAAAAAGAGGTGTGGGGTTGAAAAATGGCTATTTTGGTATAACAAAATTGTACCGAGTTTTGGAAAAAAATAGACATTTTGCATCCCCCGCGTTAAAGTAAGGTGGCATTTCGTAACGAATCAATTTTGATTAATTAGAAAATAACGCTATACATATCTATGTACAAAATTATAGGTAGGTACTTTCACACTTGATGGAAATGAGGGTGAAAGCAAAACATTATTTTTTAAATATTGTTATAAACATTTATAATACTGCAGATAAAATGAGAGTTTTTTTTTTCCTTAGGCGCTAAATACATATATTTTACAATAAGCTTTATGTTATAATTTATGTACAAATATATAGGTTTTAAAGAGCTAACACACTTTGAAATCAGCACATTTTTTTAGCAAGTAACAATCTTTTTTTCTTTTTTTTAAATGAATTTGTTACGTGGATTTAGATTGTCTTTTAGTTCATCCACATTACGCGAACCTTTTTTCTTTTATAAAATAGCCATTAGGCGCGTAGATATGTACTATTTGACGGTATTTGTCGTATTCAACTCAAAGTTTATTCAACTAAATACGTACATGACCAAGTGGCTGCTAAATGGAGCTAAATGTAGGTAAATAACGATTTTTAGAATTTCCAACCCACTTTTTCGTGCACTAACCGTTTGAATTTGTTTTCTATTTATTTAGCGAGTTTGCTATTTAATTCCGCTCACATAAGCCTCTTTTGTACTCGTGAAAGGGTGCAAGTAAACGAACAGATACATCCAGATAGTTAGTAAAAGAATAATTTTCATCTCAAGTTCCGGCTCATACTTTCCACCGACGCTTACATCGTAGACTTGAATAAAACAAAAATCAAATAAAAATAAAGAAGACAGGAGTTTACTAAAATCTCCGGTTATGCGCGAAAGTGAGTTTAGAGCTTCTAATTAATCGTTTGGTATCGTACAGAATATAGAGTTGGATCTGAGTGTCATGATATGTTACGCATTTTCGTTGTAGACATGCTTCGCTTACCTAAAAATACGAAAGTAGCCAAGAACCGAAGGACTAAAGGTGCGTGCGTAAGGATTAGCCGTGATGACATCGTAAGATATCATAACACTTGTAAATTTATTATAAAAAATATGTTTCGCTTTGAATTTAGGACGTGAAATAACTGTTACAATTACTGATATGTTGGCAATGTGGAATGCTGATGATGGTGTCGAGTCGATATAAAACGAAAAATTTACTAAAAAGCTGAGCAAATGGAATTGTATTTTTGTTGTTTTGAGCTGGATTATTTGATATGGTACATTAATTTTGAGAAAGAGAAAACGTGCCCGACAAAAAACAGTGAAGAATCACAGCTGCAAACTGAGGGACTGCCCACCTTGCCATGCTGACACATCCTGAAACAAAAACCAACACATATATCATAAAATCATTGCTTATTCATCACTTACTGAGTTCATTCGATAACATTTCTTGCATGCAGCATTGGTTCTAATAAAGCACTAAATTGATTTCTTGTCATAAAATAAATTTTATCGTCGGGACCGAACCCTAAATTTTATCAAATGTAACGAAAATGCCAATATTTTACAAATATAAATTGGGCAATAGAAAGCTACCGTCAAACGCAATTCGACCCATTATGCTGATAATTATGTTTAATTAACTGTTAAAAATCTATTGTTTTAACTCTTTAGGTCACTGACCGCCTTCTCGCATACTCGTCTGTTCATAAATTAAATAACTGTAAACCCCCTACTTCCTTCCATTTAAAATATATGTGGATATTTTAAATGGAAGGAAGAAGCATTTGTTACGTTAAAAAATGGATAAATTTGCTCTTTGGCGGAGAGTGTTGTGACGTCCGCGACAAGTATTTTTTTTTTTGCTTCTAATTATGCAGTTGGAGAAAGCGAATCTTGCTTTGACGGCTTTTAATTTTTAACGAAAGTAAAATTAAAAATAAAGTTATTTATTACTGTGCTATAAACCTCGTGAATTGTTATCTCATATATTTTTTTACAGATTTTTTTATCTAGTTTAACTTGTCGTGTCGAAAATTAAGGCAATGTAAGTTCAGTACAAGCCGAACGTACAAGTAGAAAATAATATAATACCGTGGGATTACTTTTGGCGAAATTGTTCATTTGTTTTCAAAGTAAACGTTTTATATTCCCTATAATTCTGTCTTAAGCAGTGGAATACTGCTCATAATTTCACGACTCGTTTGGCTTAAAAACTTTTCCAAGCTGCGGGTGAAATCTTTCCCAAGATTTGAAATTTGCATAAAATTAAAAAAAGGATTTTGTTAAAAAAATGTGTGTACGTTATATTTAAAGTTGAAATCAACAAAGCTAAAAACGTTCCTTAATTGAGTCGAATAATTCGTTTGAGGGGTTGGTGGAAATAATGATTTTTGAATGAGAGGAAGAAACCGCGAAGTAGTCCTCTCGAAATATTTACCTCGGTGAGGCTAAGAGCTTATTTAAAAATCCATCTCCGTTCCAAACATAGTCAAGTACGTCAGGAAGCTGCATTTAAATGTAAAGTGAATCGTTTAAATTTAAGTAATATAAAAAGTTCAAATGTCAATAAACGGCTTGCATTTCTACTTTCCATTGATTTATCATGCATTCATAAGCTTCCAGCAAATTTCGTCCATAAATATTTGACACGAGGATTTCATTCCGCGATACCGACTCTATATTGTCAACTATACGGTCGCTATTTGGTGGAATATGCGCATTGGATTTTTCCAATTTGGATTTAGGAAATTGAGAAAACAAGTTCAAATACAAAAAAATTTGTTGGCCATTAGTAATAAAGCCGTTTAAATTAGTTATAATGCAAGGTCGACCTCGTTTTCAAAGCTCTCATGCCTTGGGCACACCGTTCAATTTCCCGTTCCAGAGTCCGACATTAAAAAAATCAATCTTTTCAACGAATCGTATTTGTTAGTTTATTTTCAACTTTGTCAAGTCAACATTGATAAATATCTAATGTATAAAACGAACCGGGATAATGACATTTTCTTCACCAATACAATAAAGACTGTTGTGATTTTGTGTATAAAAAGGAAAAGCGATATTTCTGTAGATATTGGAAAACAATTGATGATACCATAAGGCGCGTACAAGAGAGCGTGTGCTGGCAAAAGCGGTGAAAATCTAATTGTGTTCTCAGTTTCCACACAACTGAATCTAAGCAAATGACATAAAGTATCGGCACTCACTTCTTGTTATTTTAATGAATAAACAACAGTAAGAATTCACAAAATGCCAATTAATATATCGTAAATATAGTACCCGTTTGCGAAATTCAAAACATGTTACACGATATTAACACGGAGCTGATGTTTGTAAATTTGTGTTACTTTTAAACTAACCTATAAGTAAATGTTTAGTGTAAAGTTTAATCCAAACCCCACACCACAGTTTCACTTAAGCAATATTAGTTAGATATTAGTTACAACACGGTTAGCTCCGTTCATCCATATACCTACACAAATCGATTTTTATCATACTGTGAATTGCTCAACTAGAGCAGTTAGTTGCTATTTATAATCTTGATACTTTTGACAGAATCGAACGAAATGAATTTACTTTCTAGTGGGGAGTATTGTGGCGGTCGAGAGACATTTTATTTTCGTATTTCTGTTTATGTTAGTAATGACAAGGTTAACCTATTCGCCCACGTAATATGACCTAGCCTGTCACTTTATATCAAAGTATAATTCGACTAATTGACACCTTTTCGATTGCGCACAATCACGGCTAAATTCTACTCTAGGTAACCAGGCAGATGTTCAATAATTGTTCTAGAAATTGGGATAAATCTGCTTCAATCTGCACATAGATAAACCACAAGAATGTTTCCCGGTTTGAATAGAACGACGTGATACCGCCACCTCAAAATATTTCGGCCAGATTCAATACCGCAACGACCAAACGATTCAAATTAAAATTAACTCAATCACATTCCCCACCAATTGGATTCGGCACAACGACAAGTGTCAACTTTTCCTTAAGCTAATTTCTTCTATTCAAAACTAGAAGCGCACGTCGATAAGATTTCAATAGTACATTTTGAAAACGTAAATTTCGGCCGATCTAGATTCTGCGTCGTTTGAATATTATTTGTCCGCAATAACGTTTACAGAAATTTGTTTTTCTGGCAGTGTTTGTTCGTTACGAATTTAAATATAACTTCATGACTTATAAACGAACCACCACTGGCAGCTAGGTCTACTTATTAGAATAAATGCGAGACAGGTATGCACAGGGGCATACACCGTGTCCCTTAGAAAAATAAAAAAATCAATACATATGGTTTAGTCAGTAGAATCGATTCAGTTCTACTGTGAGTTTTTTCAAAGGTTAAATAAAGGTACTAATTTATTTTATTTGCCAAGTATACGAATTAACATGTCGATAATTAAATAGCTGAACTAGTGAGGGTAATTTAAGCGTTAATAATTAATGGTATTGACTGTTTGTATCCGCGGAGAGAAAGATCGATGGAAGGAGCAGTTAAGCATTGCTTGAAAAATTTCTTTGATTTCCCTATGGGAGCGTTTTAAAATAAAGGTGACGTTATTCTCGACGTGCACTATACATCGTACGGTCAAATGAAAGCAACCCTAAAATTACGTTAAACAAACGCCTTGAACCGTGTTCGATTCGGTCGAAGGATAACGGGAGAATATGAATGTGCTTTTTGTCTATAGTGATATTAACTACATTACTGTTACGTTGGCTTTTCTCTTTTTAATTACCTTAATGGGAGTTTTGGTTTGGCGGTGTCAAAAGTGTAATCTGAGAATTGATTTTCATATTGGAACTGCTTTCTGAGAGTAAACTATAGGTCTGTTGAGGGGAGCACAATAAAAAATTAATCCATCCATTAATTTAATGTCAAATAAAAAGGATCATTTTTCACTTGTTTTTTAGTCTGCGAATAGCAAGCTCGGTAATTATGTAGAGAATACTGGAGTCTTTTGTGCCATTCATTATATTTTACTGATCAAGCCTAAATAGCGTAGAATTATTCATCTGGTTTGATACATCCCGAAAAATGTCGTAATTAAGTAATGAAACCGATCTATAAACAAACTTATTTCTGAGATTAAAGTTATTTCTTTCGTGGTTCCCGTCTGGTAGGATAAAAAATTGAGCACTCAGTATATTGCTCGATAAATAAGGAAAATTTACGAAAACAGAAAGCTCGCGGTAAATTATAAGTTGCGGTTTACCTCTACGTCACGATTACAGGATGTAGCGGCAGTTAGGTAACGATCTATAAAAATTCTAGAATGGTGCTCGCTAATAAGGAATTGATTTCGAAATAAATTTCGACACTCCGTGTCTATGATGAATATTTTGTATTAGGCGACACGACAGAACGAAACAAAAATGATTGAATTTTTGTTTAAGCTGGGAGTGTTGTGACGGTCATCCTTTTTAATTGGAAAACTTCGAATGAATGTCTAGCTCCAAAAATAACTCAATTTATTTTGGGACCGGTTTCGTGTCAGAAACATCTTCAGCCCAATGCGAAGGGTAACCAGTCGCAAATAGAGTTATTCCAGTTAAAAATTTTTTTTCGACGATCCGTCGAGAATCGAGCGTTGTTTTATAATCAGATCGAAAAATATAGATCGTTGTTAAACGAGAGTTTGTTTACGTTAAACTTTATAAATTTTTTTTGTTTGGTTAGGAGAGCCGAAGAAATAAAGGAGGGACGAATAAGGATCTATAAAAATTCTAGAATGATGCTCGCTAATAACGAATTGATTGTGGAAGAATTTTTCGATAGTGCGTATCTACAGGGAAAAGAAATTTCGATGCCGGGAGTAATTTGTGAAAAATTTGGAATGTCGATTTCCTCGATTCTCATTCATTAAAAGGTGGGATTCCTATCTAAGCAATAAAAAGCGGACGCCGAAAAAATTTAGAGATGTGGGCGACACGTTTTTGTTGTGCAATTTTCTCGTTCGTGTAGCATAAACTGTAGTTGCTTCGAGATCGATATCAGAAATAGTTTTCGAATTATTATTATCGGGGGTCGTCTTTTTGGGCTCGAGCGACAAACCTGTTTCGATATTTGAGACGGCTTTCGAGTTATTTCAATGAGCAGTTTTCGTTAGGGTTACCGATAAACGAAATAATAAAATTGATTTTTGTCCGGAGCGGTGATATTTTATTTGTTGAAACATGTGTCGCGCTTTATTTAGTTTGCTTTGCCATGTGTGGTTTTCCTCAGCACTAATTAACACCAAAGTTTCGGCGAAACCAATTGAGGATCAAGTTTAAAGTAAAACTTGTTCGGTGGGTAATAATTACAGATTTATGGGTTCGTATATCATTGATATATTTGGGTAACAGTTCGAAATAATGGGATGATAATTGGACTTATCGTAACACATAATAACGTAAACGGTACGAATTAGAGAATGGGATTAATATTTAATGCGAAAATGGTTAGGGGTGAAATGCATTAGGCATCGCGGTTGAATTTATTATTACGACACAAATGGAGTAGGAAGTCTAATATTATTAGCCATCTGTACTCGCAAAACGAAAGTTGGGTATAACCGACCCACATTATAGTAAATCTAAGGGAGGATATATGTTTAGTGTGGACGTGCGAGAAATTTTGATCTTTCGCGTTCTTTCGAGGCACATATTGAAAATTTGAAAATGTCGAATTAAATTTTAGCTGCACGTCAGCGTAACAGGTGGTTCAAATTACAGTGGTTTACAAGCAACATTCGAATGGCTAGAAATATGGATAATTCTCTTAAGATCAATAACACACCGCCTGCACCGTTCAAATAGATAATCTTTATTACGGAAGCACGTCGGGGCCAAGAAAAAGGAACATTTAGTGTGGTGAAGCATGTGGTTCGTACTCTCTGGCAAATTCGTTAGAAATTCTTGAAGGAGAGAGACGACGGCACAGCTCCGGAGTCTCCCGTCTCTCTCTCTCTCTGTGTGCATCGGCGAGAAATTTGCCATGCGAGTAGGACAGACATGAAAGTGCTCAAGTGCGTGCGAGTGCAAGAAAAGCCGGGACCTGTACCTGATCCTTGCGGCCCTGGTGGCGTGTAAAGTCCCAAACCGGTTTCGACAGCGGGACCCGGCTGAACGACGTCCTTGTCCGAAGAGGATACCATTACTACTTTGGGCCTTTCGTCTTGAATAAGAGGCCTGCTGATGTTGCGCTTCCCCACGTCTGCAATAAGAACCACCCGTCAGCACCCCCATTCAAATTGAAATTATAAATCGTCTTCGTTGATTCCATCGACACCCTAAACTGATTAGGCGACTTCGATACGTACGTCGCACGTCTCCTGTTAACGACAAAATATACCGCCGATATTGGCCCTACACAACGTGTTCTTCAAAGTTAGCACGATTGCCCTGGAGAATAGAAACACACTTTGAACTCTGTTATACTCATCTCGCGTAAGGTGAGCTCACAAAAAGTATGCTTTCATTGTGTTGCTGAATATCACCGCAGAGAATAAGTTGCGCCCTGTCTTAACCCTAACTTTGGCCATTACAGCGGCGCGTTATTGTAATGCCGAAGTTGCTTCTTTCTCTGCCAGGATATTTATCATTGCATATACATTGCCAACCATTGCCACCTATATACACTGCGAAATATGTCAGCTTCAACCTATTCAACTTTCAAACTTAAACCCAACTCATAAACACTACCTAATTGTCCCAGTTTGACTTATTCCCGTTTAACCTACAGCCGCACTTAATAGAACTTTACGCCCCCGCAAAAAATCAATTAAAACCACTACCGGCACAACTCGGAACTTTAGAAGCTCGCAACCTATTGCAAGGGGAAGAATAACAGTTATAGAAAAGATGGGGCTATTTATTATATTGTAGAAAACATTGACGTTTCGTTGCGACAAGAACTTTAAAAAGGTGCGCCTTTACTTGCTGCTACGTACTTACCTGCGATTAACCCAAGATCAAGTGGACAATGTCGTCGTCGTCGTCGTCGTCGTCGTCAAATCGAACGAGTGTCGTTAGTTGTTCCGGGAAACCCGTATTGCACGATTCCCGTGCAACAGAATCGGTGCGTCATCGATTGCGCGTTCTCCCGAATAAATTTACGCCTTCGCACTCACATTTACTACCTCTTTTTAGATCCTTAGTTATTCAACGTAATCGGCATTTTTGAGTCGTCTCGCAATTGCATGATTAATCAATCTCGGAGGTTGTTTCGGTTGCCATCAAGAAAGTTTTGTTGATTTTGTAACCACCTTGGTGAATCTAATACATATTTAAACACCGACGTTATATATAATTGATTCGCACTACATGTGCACCTATTGCCAAGGTGGAATGTAAGTTTTATAGCAGAAAGAATTTATCGTTGCTCGGAGATATTCTCTCTGTTGTATGCAGCCGGAATTTGAAACGGCATTATAAAATAGAGGACATTAGCGATACAATGTAACGTAGTATTTTGAAAAAGCTTTGCTCGAAATTGTCGTCGCGCTTGCGTATGAGGAAACATTTCAAGTAACGACGACTGTTTTTATGCGATTAAAACGCGGAGGCTTTTGCGTCCGCACGGACGATGCCATTAGTATTCGCACAAGATTAATGCCCGCGAGCTGGAAACATCTAATTAAGTAACGTCATAAATTCATCCGGAATAAAGCGATGAATGCGAAAAAACTAAATTCAAAATGCAACAGACTCCGATCGGGTCGGCGGATAAACCGGTTTGGCGACAACTCTCGCCGATAAACCGGTTGCCGGATAATAACGATCGGACGGTCGATCGCCGTTCTGTAAGCGCGAAGAAATACGAAAATTGCATTATAATGAAAAACTATTCATGCGTCAGACGAGTGGCGATTTAATATGTATTCATGCAAATTTATACTTACTTTCTTTGTTGGAATTGCTCTTCATTTCGGTTGCTCGAGGAGGAGTTGACGGCATCGGTATTTCTGAAACAAGAAATTTTTTTCACTCGGTGTACACGTAAAAAGTCGAGCCGAGGAATTTTATGATATAACGCTAACCGGCGCTTTGCATGTGTCGGTAGTAACGGGGTAATTTTTTAAGCACACAATCCGATCGTTATCTCCAAATAAACGGCAGGACGAAATTATGCAAATTTCTCTGTTCACAACTCTGTTACCTCATTAACAAAAATTACCGAATTTACATCTTAATTTTAATTAATTAAACTGGTACCGTACCCTAATATTCTCCTTGTCTTTTTATCGCTTTGTATTCGTACATCAATTAGAGGCAGCTACAGTTGTTTGATAACATTTTTCGACTACTCGACGTCGCAGAAGTGTATTTCCTTACAAGTCTTGATATAAGTTAACAAGTTGTTAAAACTATTCGAGATGACAAAAACAGTCGAGTTACAAAGTTGAAAGTGAGCATGTTGTTTTATCTCGAGTATAAACTATTCTGCATAACTCTTGGCAAAACTTCTTAATAAAATATAAAAAACTCGATTAATTAAGAGTTGCTTTGTTCGCTGATTTCGTAATTTACGATTTATCGGCTCTAAATGCGATACGCTTTTAGTTTCTTTTATTTCATTCGCCCCTAGAAAAGAAACATATATCCGCCATTTGTTGCATCTGCTCTCACAGGTGTACGCATTTTACCTACAAAGCATTTATAAAGTACGGAATCGAGTAGATGATTTGATATTCGTCAAAATAAAATAAAACGTGCGTACAATAATTTTTCCGTGGGAATAACTTAATAATAACGTTAACAATATTGTACAAAACATATGGAATATTTTATACCAGCAGTCACGCATAAATATTTAAAAATATATGCATATGCATTTTGGTTTTAACCACCGTAATTTTTACTAATATATTTACATACACATTTGCAAATTGTGTATTGTTTTGGATGCAATCGACAACAACAAACTATTGTTTTCTGATTGAAATAACTGTTTACTGAGCTTTTCCAGCTTTGTTAGTATAGAAAAACAATTTATTAGCGTTCGACGATGATCGAGCGACGAGTATTACTCGCCCTTATTTTCCGTTCGTCCTTACATACTTAAATGTCGGAATTTAAAACAGGCGACAGTAAGACTAAGTATTCTGTCAGTTTTCCGAACATTAAATAATTAAATCGATGTGTGGAGGTCTTTATCCTCATGAAGCGACTATCGATAATTTATTGAAGAAGTTTTAAGTTCATTCTAAGTTTGAGTCAAGTCGTCTTTTATGTAAATTTCCGTGTGAATGATTTCAGATCGATGTCAGAAACATATTTTCAATTTAAGAATCAAGAAGATCCGCTTAATTTTCTGTCAAATTTGCGTGCGACTAATCCTTTTAGCGTTATATCACAACAACGTAAAAATCACTCGCCGTATGCTCACATGTAACTAAATTATTAACCGTGCGAAAATTCGCGATACAGGAAAATGCGGTTTTCAGTTGGAAGCGTTAATAACGAAAGCTCTGATGCTTAGTGCTCTCCTAATTACGTTTTTACGCTGTTGAGAATTTTACGTAAATATAACGTTATGAATATAAACAAGATCATAGGGAATAGGGTTTCGTAGGAAAGGAGAAATATTGTCGCACATCTAATACAGTGTGCTCGTAATGCGAGGGGAAAAATTGCCGGAGTTAATCCGGAATTTATTTTTTTGTCGCGCCCTAAACAAGCCATAAAGGCTTCTTAGTTCCATCGAAAGTTAAATTTTCGTTCGTAACGGACATTAGGTAGACGGGCATATGAGCGTTTTCTCAAGGGAGATTTATAGACCACGATGAGAACAACATTTTATCAAAATAAATTACTTTTCTGAATTCGGCGGACACTCAGATATTTTTTATAGGTAACCTTTGCGCCTAAAAATTATATAACCCAATAATTATCCCTGGGGATTCTTTTGCCTACACTTTTTTTTATGTTGCAAGCATTGTTTAATTATGAGCGTGCAGTGCTCGTTTAGTCTTTACTACGAGATAAGACAAACTCTGAAAATTATTTACTCTTTTTATGCGAAAGTTTCGAAATATATTATCCCTTCCTCAAGGAATTGAAAATTCTTAAAATTTAATTAACGTAATATCGCCGTGGGAGGTTTGACGATCGCAGGGACGTCCTTACTGCAGATAAAAAAATTGTGATTTTTTAGTGTTTCTTAGTTTCCGATCCTTTCCCAGAGATGTGGTAGATACCTGTTATTACAGGAGGAAAAAGCAATTTCCAACAATTTTCTTTAAAATAAAATTTGTTGCGTGAAGCACGGTTCGAGAACGTTCTTTTTCGAATAAATACGCGTATTCAAACGAAACAAAATTTACTCAAATAATTTCAGCTTTTGTTTACTTTAACGGCTGCCGTGGTGAATTATATGTATTTTATGAAATTGCATTTATAATGTTCGAATATTTATCGATAGTAATTGTACGTATTATTTAAGGCAGAAGTAAATCTAAGCTCTCTCAGTTTTCGTTGTGGTCTTTGTGTCTTTTACAAAAATTGTTGTCTTTAGATAATGGTACTAGTAATTATTTTTTACTTTTCTGTGGAGAACGATAACTTGCAGAAAGGGAAGTAGCCTTTCTGTAAAGAATAGTTCATTTTCGCTTTAAAATTTGATAAATCTATATACGTTATTGTATGTCGTGTTAATATAATTAGTACAATAGGTTGAATTAATATGCAGGTAAGGCTCGGTAGTATGTTAGGTTTAATTCTAAGAAGGAAATTAATTTTGCATGTTCACTGTAAAGCTGAGTAACTAATTCAACAAAGAGAATAGTTAAATGAGCTTAGTAATGAGCTTAAGTAGTTTATAAATTTTCTAATTGGTCTTAATGTAACTTGGCGATGACTGAACGACCAGAGTTTCGTTCAGTGCATCTCGATGAAATTTTGATTTTTGTTGTCGGAAAAATGGCGAAATGATGAAGCTTGTTTTTAAATAAGTCAAGTGGTGGTAAAGTTTCCGCAATGATTTATTTGGAGCAAAGTCGGGACTAAAAAATGAGGTTGATAAATGACTAGATCAATTAATCTGTGAAGTTTGTCGTAGAAAAAAGTCGGATATTGGCTTAGCGACCTTGTTAACTAGGGTTTAGAGTATAGGGTATGGACAAATTCGTTTGTGAGTTAAGCAGATATATTTTATTTACCGTATATTCGGATGGATCCTTCCGTTTCCCCTAGAGAATTCTTGGAGATGCATCGATAGTTACCGAAGTCTCCGGGTTGGAGGTTTCGCACTGACAATTTCATGTGCGCCCTGTAGCTGTTTTCGGTCGTTTCGGTCCCATACTTTTTCGTAGGCAGGAGCATGACGTTGTCGTATACCCAATAGCTAATGGCTCTTGGGTATGCCTCTGTATGGCAGTCTATTGTGACATCCGTGCCGGCTGGTGCCCCAACCAACTGATTTGGAACCCAAATCATCGGAGAAACTGTAACAAAACACATTTACTTACAAATGTGAGCGGAAAAGGAATGACGACCAGCGCGTACGCGAAAGAAGTGTATTGAAGATGGACACTCGAAGGACGAGAAACGGCGTTAATTAAAGCAACCGAATAGCGGAATAAACATTGGAGTTCTATATTTGTTACCAGTTTATTGCCGGGGTAGACAGAAGTGACCCGATGAGAAATAGCTACACGTTCGGATACGTCACAAAATATTACATGTACAACATGGCAAAAGTGCTAAGAAAAAATATATTTCTTTGCAAAACTGACAGAAGAGCTGCGGGGGCGAAAACAGAACAACCCGTTCTGTTGTTAGCGGCGAACTTCGTAAAACATCGGTAGAACGTTATCAAAAAGGTTACGTTAAAGAATGGCGATTACTTCTCATCGCTATGGTTAATAATTAGGCCGTATATCACGGAAAGACTTGAGAAAAAGTTTAATACGATGATATAAAACTTGGAGTAAATAAAGAAAACTTTCCGGAGATATTAAAGTCTTAAGATGTACTTTAAAAATATGATTAATAAATTATGAATATTAATCCCTGCAATGAAAAATAAAGCAGTTTATTTTAAGAAGCTCCGCTAAAAAATTATCTTACATTTTATTGTTCTCTACAGAATCGCAGGGGGACGATAACCTCACCTTAATTTTCTTTATAAATGAAAAGCAACAACGCTTTTATCCCCATCTTTATTGTCCTCAACTTTTCATCCACACGGTTACATGTTCTGAATGGCAAAATATCGATATAGTATCCAAAATGATTTTGCTTGTCGTTCAACCGGTTTAACTAGTAGCCGGTTTCAGTTCAGTCAAATCGTGCTCTAAGCAAACCCACCAACCACGTTACGTTTGACAACAAAGAAATATTTGCTGTCGTTTTTACGTTTAGAGATTGACCGCTTCGTTGCATCTCATCAATAATTTTTCAGCCCTCTCTTTTTCTAGAAGCAAACGTCAGTTGATCGCTATCAATAATTTTTCAAATCTGTCTTTAACCGTTATGTTCGATGTAGCTTTGTTGTAAAAATCTCTCAAAATAGCTGCATCGGAGCAAATCGATGCGTTTAAATCATTCAATGGAGCTGCAACCCCGGATTCGTGTTTACACTAGTGCAGAGTAACGTAAAAACGGAAGCTTGTGGCCAGAAATCGAGCATTTGATATTCATTTCTTCGAACGACAGAATAAATTCATTATCAAGTACGATCTGACATCTTAGACTTTGTTTGATATATGCACTACTCTTTCTCCAGTTTGTTAACGTGGAGAGTTATTTAGTTCGTATACACAAAGTCAGCGTTCCGGAACAGTTTTTATAAAAAGCACGGAGGTCCCTTGGCAGCAGATTCACTTCGTCAGTAGAATTTCTTAATTTTTCACGTTAGGGCGATTAGATGTTGTCGATCAAGAAAGATGGGTTACAGCTTTCGCTAGTTTTTCCTTTGTTGCTTTACACCACTCAGGAAATGCGCATGAATTTTCCGCCACTTTTTTATTTGGCGTATTTTGTAAGTGTTCCAATTTATGTGATGAATTGTAGGTTTGTAAAGAGTGGGCGAGAGTCTAATCGAGTTGATCAGTCACGCCCATTTTTCGTTCAATAATCAGATTTATGAACAGACAATGGTTCGCCACTTTCACTAGTCTACTACGCGAAGCATTCCCAGAAATAGCATCTGAAATGCCTATTTATCATGAAAATGGAAAACAACAGATCTTTGCTTTAGATGCTACGGTTTAGGATAACTCACAAAAATGGAAAGATGTTTTAATGGAACGTTAGAGCGAAAACCTTGCCAACCACGTTTGTGAAAATTTCAACTTGTATCCATAAGTATACGTATTTTTTTTTATATGGCGACTGTTAGAATTTATATGTTAAAAGTTTGAGACAGAGTTTTTTTTTGTAATTTAAGTCCCCTCAAAATCCAGTATACATTTTTAATCAAAGATTCATCCAAAGCAACGTTAATCGTTTCTTGCTGCTTATTTATAACATCTTGCTTATTTATTTTTTTTGCTGTTAAACAGCTTAATTCCCTCGAGTTTGTTTTTTGTACCCTGCGCTGTTTTTTTACGTTCTCATCTTTTCATTTTATAGCATTATGTAAATACGATTAGCTAGTAATTATTTTACAGGTAGGAGGATTTTTATTAAAAGTGTGTCTTATAATTCTACGCAAGTAAAACCGATGTTTTACTCAATTTTTTTAACAACAGAAAATAGACAATATTTTTTAATTAGCTGTATTAACTTTAACAAATCGATGTGATTTTGTGAAGATTTGTTCTTGTATTTTTTTAAATCGAGTATATTACTGACAGTCGTTTTTCGCTTTGAAAGAAATTTAATTTCTCTCAGAGCGTTTTATTGATGTCTTCTTGCAAGCTCACTGCATATAAAGTATATGGATGGGTAAAATTTAAAATTCCTTACGTAGCTAGTGCTTATTTTTAACAATTATCAGATATGAACAGTGATCAAAGTTAACAGATAAATGAATGAAAAGTGTCACGTTTCGGATGAAGAATTGTGGACTGTTCTCAAAACGTCTGTTTTATGCAAGAAGTGTACGAGTTCCTTTGGTAGATAAATAAATTCAAAACAAAGTAAATTTGTTTTAATTATACAGAATTTTTATTTATTGTTTTGAAACTAAACACAATAAAATTTAGAGTCATGTGAAAGGAACAAATGTTTTGTTCCATGTTGTTGCTAATTTCAAATGAAATTGTTTTATAATTTGCATATGACCTAAAATGTATATTTTATATAATACGAAGGCAAAAATCGGCTACCTTGATTTAGAAAACGTAATCGTCGACGTAAACGTTAACTTATGCATTTCGTATTGAAAATGGGAAATTTTTCCGCCTGCGGTAAAGAAGAAGACAGTTACATTAGCGTAGTCTCTGATGCTGTTTATACAACAGTAATTTTGTCCAAATATTTGCTCTCTGTGAGTTTGTTTTCTGTTTGTTTCGGCAGTGGCGGCGATTATGCTCGGATCGGGATTTATTTTGCAAGCATAAAAAATGAAAGTAATTTTAAAAATCGTTTCCGTTCGAAGGAAAGTGTTAATTATCTGGGGTTGAATACAATTTGGCAAGGAATTCTAGTATTGTCGGTGAACATTGCACCGCTATATAATGCATTTGTCGAAATAATAAACTTGGAAACTACATTAGTGTCATATTTGAAATACTAGACGTGTTTCAAATTTTGCCGCCATTCTGGAATGCACTAATATAGTGCTTTTGAACCATCGGAGCACTGCCATCATTGTCCCGACTAATCTGCCAGACACAATTGGAAATATTCTGGGACATTTACTGGAATCGATGCGGTATTTTCAAATTAATTTCAAATTGGTGAAGGTTTCTCTACACAAACATTCTTATTATTGTTGCTATGGTTGCAGAAAAATTAGTACTTAATTGACAAAAGGAGTAGCTGCTTAATTAATCTGACGGAGTTATTGTCATAACAAATTGAGTTAGTTTAAAATCTCAGTACCTTGACAAGTATTTATTCATACAACTGACTACACAGATCGCGGGTTTCGCGGAACATATTTAATTAAAACTGATCAGTAATCGCGACGATGACTTTATACTTGTGACCACTTTGAATATATTACTTCCGAACGGGAATAGTTTAAAAGTTGAAAATTTCGTAAATAGTAAAGGCGCTAACTTATCGACCGTTCTCCGACATTTGCCGACATTTACATACACCTGTTAGGCAGTCACGCGAGAACTCAACTTGAACTCGAGACTCTTGAATTTGAAAAGTATATTCACACCATTATCCGGGGATATGCACGTTCTACTGTTAAAGATTAAGCAGCCTGTTAAAGCAAATTTTATTTATGTATACCTGGTCGAATTTATTCAAACGCGGCAAACTTTTACGCCACATTTACTCGACTTAATTCAATTAGAGATCTGCTTAACGACAACAAAACTGACGGAAGGATTCAATTATCCTTCATGAATAGCGTTCCGACACAATTAATCTTCAATAATTGCCGCCAAATCACGAAACCAATGATCAGACGCGCCCGATTGCGCCATTTATGTTCTTACGTGCTCTAAATTTTGTGTAAATCACACCATATTCGTAACATTTTTTCGAGCTTAATTTCACTTAATATGATTTTGTGACGTCACACGACATTACTGAGCCCGCTTTCAAAGCAACTTCCAGCGAACTGATTTTGTAAAACAAGAACAGCCTGTTCTGATCTTTTATTTCGAAGGCGGACATGATTACAAACGATGACGGAAACGACCACAACATAAAATTTATCCAGTCTGGAGCATCTCCGTGGTTCGTTTCTAAATTTGTTCACCTTGTTTGCATCTTCGAGTCCATTTCGGTCTAATAAAAATATTTTCTGGAACTTTTAAATGTGCATTTTAAATAATGCATGCACAACTAACGCGATTCAGTTGCCGCAGGTTAATTTCCGATAGATACGGCAAAGACCGCAAAAAACTAAATTTGTTTTAGAGTCGTCTCCTTTTAAAATAAAATACAGAAATCAGAAGGTATACAGTTTCACACTCGCGAATGTTTAATCAAAGAACCGTTTTGTGTATTCGCCCCTAGCAACGGCTACATTTTTTCTTCAACATTCATTAAAAAATGTATGTGAAACTGGATGTGAATCTTAAATACGTTTCCACTTAACAGTAACATGAATTTTCATGCAAATTACTAAATGCAAGGTATACACCTACATCCCTGTAGACCAGTAGCCGGGTGCTATTTCCCCAAGGACAACTAAGCGACCCTTGTTCAGGAAACTTTGTAATACTTGAAATAAATTTCCTCTTCCACAAGGAATAATTTATAAGTATGTAATTAATATTAATAAGGGACTATGTCTCACTTATGCTTAATTATTTGCTACATTTTCAATATAAAACTTTCCTTCGGAAGTGCCGTCGAAAATCACTTGTCA